AATCATTCATATTCCTTCAAAAAATTGATTTTTATATGAAAAACCTAAAATCGGCAGTAGATCCTTAAATAACGCTCCAATTGAGAAAATAGTGAAGATCTTTGATAATTCATACTTCTCGCCAAAAACCTATTTTTATATGAAAAACATAATATCGGCTGTAGTTTATTAAATAACGCTCCAATTGTGAAAATCTCTGATCAATCATATCATATCTCTATTTTTGTACGAAAATCTTTAAATCGGCTGTAAGTCCTTAAATAACGCTCCAATTGAGAAAATAGTAAAAATCTGTAATCACTCATATTCCCCACCAAAAATCTATTTTTTTTACGAAAAACCTAAAATTGGCTGTAGATTCTTAAATAGCGCTCCAATTGAGAAAGTAGTGAAAATTTGTGATCATTCAAAATTTCCACCAAAAATCGACTTTTATATGAAAAACCTAAAATCGGCTGTAAATTCTTAAATAACACTCCAATTGAGAAAATAGTGACAATCTATGATCACTCATATTTCCCACCAAAAATAGATTTTTAACGGAAAATCTTAAATCGGCTGTAGATCCTTAAATATCGCTCTAATTGAGAAAATAGTGAAAATCTGTGATCACTCATATTTCCCACCATAAACCGATTTTTATATGAAAAACATAAAATCGGCTGTAAGTCCTTAAAAAACGCTGCAATTGAGAAAATAGCGGAAATCTGCGATCACTCATATTTCCTATCAAAAATCGATTTTTATATGAAAAACCTAAAATCGGCTGTATATTCTTAAATAACGCTCCAATTGCGAAAATAATGAAAATCTGTGATCATTCAAATTTCCCACCAAAAATCGATGTTTATATGAAAAATCTAAAATCGTCTGTAAATCCTTAAATAACGCTTCAATTGAGAAAATAGTGAAAATCTGTGATCACTCATGTTTTCCACCAAAAACCTATTTTTTTGTCAAAAATTTTAAATAACGATCCAATTGAAAAAGTAGTGTGATCTCTCATATTTCCCACAATGAATCGTTTTTATATGATAAACATAAAATCGGCTGTAAGTCCTTAAATAACTCTCCAATTGAAAAAATAGGGAAATCTGTGATCACTCATCTATTTCCCACCAAAAATCGAGTTTTATATGAAAAATCTAAAATCGTCTGTAAATCCTTAAATAACGCTCCAATTGAGAAAATAGTGAAAATCTGTGATCACTCATATTTCTCACCACAAATCGATTTTTATATGAAAAAGATAAAATCGGCTGTAGATCCTTAAATAACTCTCCAATTGAGAAAATAGTGAAAATCTGTGATCACTCATATTTCCTACCATAAATCGATTTTTATATGAAAACTCTAAAAGCGGCTGTAAATCCTTAAATAACGCTCCAATTGAAAAAATAGTGACAACATGTGATCACTCATATATTCCACCAAAACTTGATTTTTATATGAAAAATCTAAAATCGACTGTAGATCCCTAAATAATGCTCCAATTAACCATAGAACATAGATTTTTGAGCAGAACCTTATAATCTGTTGCTTTTTCAATAATTTGGTTTCTAAAAAATAAAAAATTTATTTTCGTAGAAAAAAAGCTCTATCTATATATATAAAATTCTAACGTTACTGACTGACTGACTGACTGACTGATTCACTGACTGATTCATCATCGCACAGCCTAAACGGTTGAAGCTAAAGAGCTGAAATTTGGACAGGAGGTTGGTCTCCCGCCAAATAGATCCACTAAGACGGGATTTTTGGACATTCGAATGTTTAGGGGGTAAAAAAGGGTAAAAACGGGTAAATTCGGTAACCTTATATCTCCTAAACTAGAAAAGATACAAAAACAGTTTAAAGCTTATCGCCGTTCATTTAAAAAAAAACGGACAGGTGTCTGGTACTTTTTTAAAATTCGGCCCATTTAGGGATTAAACGGGTAAAAACTGTATTTTGGTACTTTTTTCGCACCCCGTGTATCTTTTAAACCAGTGCACGTTCAAAAAATATTTTTGACTCCTTCATAACTTAACGAAAAAATAAAAAAATGAATTTAGTACTTTTTGGATATTCGGACGTTTAAGGGGTTAAAATTGTACCTATTTTTGGTACTTTTTTCATAAAACATAGTTTTTGGTTTATTAACTTATACATATGAATACATAATAACGGGCTCCCACTACGATGTTGCAACTTTTTGGAATAGAATTTTTATTTCGTTAATGGGGAGGAAAAAAGTACCAAAAAGGGTAAAAACGGGAAATTTGGTTTTATTCAACCACAATGATCCAATTTAGATAAAATTTTTAAATTTAGAAACACTAAATATCCTAATGGGGTGTTATTTGGAACCCCGGTATCAAGTGATATTTTTGGTACTTTTCATTCTCCAACTGGTCCTTTTTGAGTTTTCTATGATATTGAAATAGAAACATGAAATTAATAATAAAGGGACTTTTCGCTACTTTTTCGTTCTACACAGGTACTTTTTTGAGTTTTCTTTAAAATTAAACCTAGAAACATGAAATTAAGCATGTAGAGCTCGGAGTAAATGAGAATCTATAAAATGGGACTTTTTGGTACTTTTTCGTTCTTCAAAAGGTACTTTTTGAATTTTCTATAATATTGAACCTAGAAACATGAAATTAAACATGTAGAGCCCGGAGTAAATGAGAATCTAAAAAAGGGGACTTTTTGGTACTTTTTCGTCCTTCGACTGGTACTTTTTGAGTTTTCTATAAAATTTAACCTAGAAACATGAAATTAAGCATGTAGAGCCCGGAGTTAATGAGAATCTATAAAAGGGGACTTTTTGGTACTTTTTCGTCCTTCGACTGGTACTTTTTGAGTTTTCTATAAAATTTAACCTAGAAACATAAAATTAAGCATGTAGAGCCCTTATTAAATGAGAATCTATAAAAGGGGACTATTTGGTACTTTTTCGTCTTTCGACTGGTACTTTTTGAGTTTTCTATAAAATTAACCTAGAAACATGAAATTAAGCATGTAGAGCCCTTAGTAAATGAGAATCTATAAAAGGGGACTTTTTGGTACTTTTTCGTCTTTCGACTGGTACTTTTTGAATTTTCTATAATATTGATCCTAGAAGCATGAAATTAAGCATGTAGAGCCTGGAGTAAATGAGAATCTATAAAAGGGGACTTTTTGGTACTTTTTCGTCCTTCGACTGGTACTTTTTGAGTTTTTTATTAAATTGAACCTAGAAACATGAAAATAAGCATTTAGAGCCCGTAGTAAATGAGAATCTATAAAAGGGGACTTTTTGGTACTTTTTCGTTCTTCAAAAGGTACTTTATGAATTTTCTATAATATTGAAAATAGAAACATGAAAGTATGCATGTAGAGCCTGGATTAAGTGAGAAACTATAAAAGGGGACTTTTTGGTACTTTTTTGTTCTTCAAAAGGTACTTTTTGAATTTTCTATAATATTGAACCTAAAAACATGAAATTAAACATGTAGAGCCCGAATTAAGTGAGGACCTATAAAAGGGGACTTTTTGGTACTTTTTCGTTCTTCAAAAAGTACTTTTTGAATTTTCTATAATATTGATCCTAGAAGCATGAAATTAAGCATGTAGAACCTGGAGTAAATGAGAATCTATAAAAGGGGACTTTTTGGGACTTTTTCGTTCTTCAAAAGGTACTTTTTGAATTTTCTATAATATTGATCCTAGAAGCATGAAATTAAGCATATAGAGCCTGGAGTAAATGAGAATCTATAAGAGGGGACTTTTTGGTACTTTTTCGTTCTTCAAAAGGTACTTTTTGAATTTTCTATAATATTGAACCTAGAATCATGAAATTAAGTACGTAGAGCCCGGAGTAAGTGAGAACATATAAAAGAGGACTTTTTGGTAATTTTTCGTTCTTTAAAAGGTACTTTTTGTGTTTTTTATAACATGAAATTAACCATGTGGAGCCCGGAGTTAATGAGAATCTATAAAAGGGGACCCTTTGGTAATTTTTCGTTCTTCAACTGGTACTTTTTTAATTTTCTATAATATTGAACTTAGGAACATGAAATTAAATAAAAGAGGTCTTTTGTTACTTTTTCGTACTTCATTGGTACTTTTTGAGTTTTCTAAAATATTGAATATATAAACATAAATTTAAATAGGGGACTTTTTGCTATTGCAGATATATATACATTTACAATAATATTTATTTTATTCCATTACGATGAGGGTAGCGAAGCACACTGGGTATAGCTAGTCTAATATAAATTTGTGAATAATTTTACAAATATGTAATGCAAAATTTCAAATTCTTTTTATATAACGATTTAGAATATGGTCGTAAAAATATATTGTAGAAGAAAAAATTTTAAAATCCTCACGAACTAGCGATATAAACAGTTTTTTTGCTCTCCTGAAAACTTGTATTATTTTAGATAGAGACTATTGAATATAGTCCTTTGATATGTAAAACATAAAATTGGCTGTAAGTCCTTAAATAACGCTCCTATTAAGATAAGAGTGAAAATAAAATAGGTTTTCATATGAAACCTTAAAATGGGCTGTAGATCCTTAAATAACGCTCCAATTGGGAAAATAGTGAAAATCTGTGATCATTCATATTCCCACCAAAAATCAATTTCTGTGAATAATTTCAAAATCTTTTAATCTTTTAATTAAAGAAAAAACACCATAACTTAATAATGTTAACATGAGTTTATTCAAAAGATTTACAATTTAATCCAAGTGGATATTTCAATAATTTCCTAAGACAAGTAAAAGTCACAAACAATTTAATTGATTTAATGCAAAAGTTCTAATTACATTAAGGACAGGTAGAATTCACGTAGCAGCTTTTGTTATCCTTCTCATCTCTCCGAGTGTTTCTTCTCAAAAGATTTGTATGAAATTAAAAAAGAACTCTGTTAGAGAAATGTAAGATTGAGATTTCTGATGTTGGGAATAGATTTTTAGTTAATTCAATGAAATTGTTGTTACTATTAGAAAGCAGGCATCACACATGTATCTTATGTACGCACAAAACGAGGATGATGATGATGATGTTGTCGTTGATGATGGGCTCTATAAGGAAGTAAAGATGAATCCTTTTTCCCCCCCTCTATAGAAGTTAAAGCTAAATTTAAGCTATTAGTACTCTTGTCATTAAGAGTTGCGGAAGTGGTCAAATCTCTTCTTTTACGTTTACCCAAAACAGAAGCACCCGGAGCCACACCAGACACAGTGCCCAATTGCAATAGCAGGGGATTACTGACCAAAGCAGCGGCTATACCTAAAACAGCAGCACTGGCTAAAGGTATGAGAAAGCTTTTGGCTAAAAGTGCTTTTTGCGAAATGTCTGGATGAGACTTATGTGCAGCTGGTTCATGTCCTTCTGCATAGGAGTACGAAGCATAGTCGCCACCAGCTGAACTAGAATAGTGATTTTTACCTCCATAAACATCGAATGGTATGCCTTCTGCTACAGCACTACTACCATAATAGCCACCCGTATGAGCAGTAGTCGCCACACTACCACCATAGTGTGGATTAGTGGGTATGTATTCTACATGATGTTCTTTGCCACCATAAGGACGACTTTCATATGCATAGCCACCATTTGAGCTACTGCCACTGCCATGTTCTGATGTCGTATAATGTCCTAAGGGTACGATTGTGAGAGAAAAAGTAAAGAAAACACAACAAATGTAAATTATGCACTTTCTTTTTTACTTATTTGTTCTTGTTCACAAACTCATTTTGCAGTTTGTTGGAGTTATGGTGTCTGTATATTGCCTTGATTACGCATTCATATCACTTACCCACGCTGATTCTATCCTGCAGAGCACCTTTTTTATTCAACAGTACTCCCACTTTCCCTTTGAGATGTTGCCAAGAATTGTAACTGTTGGCCAAATGTACATCGCTGTTATCTTGTGTTCCACCGCCATTGCCACCACCTCCATTGTATTTGTTATGATTGTTGTTGTTATTGTTGGCATTGTGAGTGTCTGGAAAAGCTATGGGCCGGGATATAAAACCATTTGAGGGTTTATAATTACTATTATATTGTGGAGCTTCTACGGTTGATATGAAATGACCTGTTGAACCAGGACCTCTATAAGTAGAATTATAATTATGAAAAAAAAATTATTTTTTGTTCTTTTTTGGAAGTTTTAGTCAGTTTTAGTAAAGAACTTAATGGTATGTAATAATTTAATGCAATGTCATGAAAATACTTTAGTTTTTTAATTGTTCTACTTTCTTTTGGGATATTATGTGGGTTCAAGTGGGAAGCTGATATTATGGTAAAGGTGGTAACATTGAATCTAGAATTGAAGATATATGTATGACACTTTTCCAGTTTATCTCAAATTACATTCCTTCAGTTAATTTTAAGCCAACGTTAAAGTCATATTTTGAAGGGGACCTTGTGTGAAAGCTTGGTTCTAATATGGGCCTATTTTCTTCATTTTCAAAAACAATGAAACATGTCAGGCTTCTAGCTCCTTGAGTTTAGGATATATTGGTCGGCTTAGAATATCTTGAAGATCAAGTATAGCAGGCCTCTAGCTCCTCATGTTTAGGCCCTATAGGATTTTCAGCAGATAGACGGATATATTTGTCGGCTTAGAATATATAAAGGATCAAGAGTATAAATACTTCTGTACCAATATTTCATTGTAAGATAAACTGAATGAAAAAAGTCAATATAATTGACGATGAGTATTAAAAGCTTTACTCTGGACCAGTACAACTTTGTGGTATTCAAATACTAAATATATAATATTTTTGTTAATTGTAGGGTTCAATTAAATCACTTTAGATTGACCGTTTTTTTTTTGACATATAAAATTTGTTTTTGGTATTTCCCTTATGGTCATGTAATTTGCCGGGGTATTAGAAAGTTGTTGTCGCATATAAAAGGGATATACTCATAATACATGTGAATATGTACTATAGTCCACCACCAAAGAATGAGGATAACGAAGGGTATTTGCGATATCCCGATGACATTGTGTTGTGAGCATGTAAGAACATTTTTTTCTCCCTGTAATGGGATCATAACTTTAAAATAATTAAGTCACTGTTAAGTAGACAATTAAAAACTTAAATAAATAGGAATGAAGTTTTTGGTTTAAATATTTTATCTATTGTTGTTTAAGTCCCGAGAAAGAGTTACTCTATAAGGATTATAATCCAACTCTACAAACCATTGCAAAATTATTGGTAGTTATTAAAGCAACACTTTCAGAACATTTGGTAGTAGCAGGATTCATTCAAAAGCAATATGTCGAAGTGCTTTACGTGAACACCTGCCGTGTTGGCCTTATTTCACGGTGGTACTTTTTCAACCACTAGCTTAGCTTTTTGTGTCTTACACGCCGGAGGTAATTTTTGTACGCTTAGTCCCACAGTCACTGATCTGTGTTGTAACCGTTGACTTCGACAACAGCATCGAACTTATCCAGAATTATAGACATTTCCGTGCATCAGTCGTTCTTCGGTTCGATTCCATGTCAAATCAATCCAAGGAAAGGCCGAGGATATATTTAATCATCACCAGTTTATAGTCCCGGCTGACTAGAAGTACTAGTAGCCCGGAATTGCAGTTACACCAAGATGGGGTCTTTCATCAAGGTAACATGCCCACGGAGGAATCCAATAGCAAGTCCGAAATTTTAGCATGGATCCCATATGATTTCCGAAAGCGTAAGTGAAGCCCGGCCAACCAGCGGAATCGAACTTAAAGCCAAATATTCACGACTCTAAGGTAATGGTAGGACTATCCATCACAGGGAACCTATACCAAATGAGACCGATTCATTTGCTGAAAGCACACAGAGAATACAGGGTTAGAATTGAAAGAGTAATATTTCATCATAACTATTCTCGACATATCGCAATAGCTGTTAAAAACTATTTAATAAGAAGTGGTTGTGAAGTTATGCCTCAATCGCTTTATAATCCGGACCATGCCCTCTCTGTCTACTATTTGTTTCTATCAATGTTGGATGTTTTCTCTCGAATATGTTTTACTTTAAAACAGTGTATGCGACTTTATTCGTTCTTGGCCTTAAAAAACGAGCAGTTCTTTTGATGCGGAGGAATCCATCCATATGTTGCCAGAAAGATTGGAAAAGGTCATAACTAATAATGACTATTACCGAGGCTTCTCCCATATATTTTAGGGAAACGAGATGTTAGGAGACGAATGAGTAAGATTCTCTGTAGTATCAATTTCTTGAAGAAATCTTCGGAAACAGATGATGCATAAACATTTCACTTGTTCGGTGGAGTACGAGGAAAAATGCATTTGTCCACGTAGCAAAAGGAGATTTGTTTTGTTATCATCTGCTCTATGAGTTCAATACCCAGGCCAATGCTTGTGCAATGCTAGATAGAATCTTAGACTCAGAGAGACGTTTCTCTTAAGGCAATATGAATATCATGATAGGTATACCTTTTTTTTGGACTGCAGACTGTACACACTCCAAGCGCTGAACAAATTAAAATTCCAAACAGAAGAAGTCTGTGGAATTTTTGAACGGTTCAAAAATCTTTATGATGATCTTGGTCTCTTGAGGTCGATCTCTTGAATCTCTAGACGTCTATTAATAATTTCTATGTTAACAGTTTCACATCTTGCAAGGCTCACAACTCGAACGAAAAAGGACGAAATATTTTCTCAACTCACAGTTAAAAAGAATACAAAAGCAAGAGGCCATAAGGTAAAATTATATTAATACTGACAAACTTTGTCCTTAGAGACTAATAGCTATCATTCACTCTTGGACGGTTCAAAAACTTTTACGACAAGTTTGGTTTCTTGTTGTCGATCACACCATGAAATATCCGAGAATTAAATCTACAGAAGTCTATAAATAATATATATGTGAACAGTTTTACATCTGGCAAGGTTCGCAACTCGAACGAAATAGGAACGAAATGTTTTCTCAATTACATTAGCTTCTCAACTCAAAGTTAATAAGGATACAAGAGCATGAGGCCATAAGGTGAAATAAACGGATTATGTTTGGACAAAGGGGTTTCGTGAGAGATGTTCATATTTCCTTGATTGCGGTATCGAACATGATTGACGAATGGGCAGCAGAAGAAAGGCAATTGAACTCTGGAATGACATACCTTGTATTAATTGTAATTAATCAAAAGGATACCATTTTAATATTAAGGGCTCTTGTGAAAAGAATTCATTCCTTTAACAAAAGTGTGCATTGTCACCTACTCACTCATGGCTTACTAGCAAAAGTCAATGGATTTACAAAATAAAAAACAATTTTGTTCATAATTTGTTGCTTTTAGTCCTTTTTAGACATTTCTACTTTATAACGTTTCACTAGATTGTTATCGCAAAAAGAGTAGAATTTGTACAAAAATGTTTTTTATACCTTTTCACTCTTGTCTTTTTTTGTTAGCTGTGTTTTTATGGTTTTGTTTGCAAAATATTTTGCAAACGAATAAGTTGTTTTGAGAATTTTATTCTTTCACAAAATTTTTATAATGGCAGGAGTAGTGGGAAACCTTCCCTCCTGCTTTTCTTTCTTAGCAGGTTTATGGAGTAGTAGTTTTAGTGAAAGTTTTTATTTGTTATAACGTTTAAACTTTGCACTTTTTATAATCTGTTTTATATGTTTTTGGGGGGGAGAATGTCATTGTTGTTTTTGTGTTCCAAACATGCAGCAAAGAATGTTTTTGTACAAGTTACATATTTTTACGATGTTTTTTTGGTGTCATGGAGGAAAGAGTTGTGGTATTCGATATTTTTATTTTTATTAGTTGAAATTCACATTGTAAAATTCCTAACATTTTATCGACAATGAAAATATTGTTTATATGTTTGCATTATTTTTGTTCGATTATTTGTTTGGTTGCTTCGTATTGTTTCATCCAGTCATAAATTTATTTAACTTATAACTGGGAAAATAAGTTTTAGAAAAATATTTTTCTGGTTTTCTGTGTGTATTGACCGCAAATATTGGGATTTTTGAAAAAAAAAAAATGAATTATTGGGGATTAAAGGGCAAAGCTTTCTATGAAAATATTTTAAATTAAAATTTTAATAAATTTAGTTGTTCGATAAATAAGGATAAGAAACACGTTTTTTTGTAGTTGGTTTAAATATTGATATTTCACTTTTCACACCTATAAAACTCTGGTGGTGGATCATAACTTTTGGCTGCTACTCCCAGTGTATTTGCTGCAGATAAATCCTTAGTTTTTATATCACGTTTAGTTAAATCTGAGGATTCCACAATATAACCATCCGATGTAGTACGTTGTAAAGTTGAGGTGGGTGTAGGTGATGTGGTGACAGCGTTTTTTAATTCTTTAGCATTTATTTTCATAACAAATATATTAAATGTTAATAAAAACACCACATAAGTATGAATATTTATAAAAAACATTTCAAAATTAAATATATTTTTTTAATTTAAAATTTGTAACCGATTTTTTTAAAGTTTTATGTTAAGCGCACGCATTAAGGAAAGCAACTGAAGTTGTCATCTATGAAAACTTAAACTTATATAAAAAATAGTTTTAATAATTATGTTGAAAATGTTTTTGAACCAAAATTTATTTTGAAATTATAAAACTTGTACGACAACTAAGTAGGACATACACAATTTAAGCTAAAAATTGTAGGGGGAATTTGTTTTCAGCTAAAGTTTATGTTCAAAGAAATAAAGCAACAAGCAAAATAATAAAATAATTATATTTGCGTTTTTTTCTAAGTTTAAGACACAATTTAAGTTTGTGTGCTCATAACGTTGGTATTTGAATTAAGTAAAACAATTAGTAACGCCAGTTGTAAACTACTTACAAATAACATTCATATCGTCATCCACAATCACTTACTCACTCATATTTGTAATATCCACACTTGTTGCTGCAAATATAATTTGAAAAATGAAATTGTTATTAAATTTTTTTTGTCTTTTACAAAGTTATCATTATTTGTTATGATTTTTCATTTTTCCTTTTACCTTTGAAAATGTAAGCTGCCACAGCACATTGTCATTTATTTTTATATTTCTGGCGTAAAATGTCATTTAACTTAAATTTAATTTGATGGTTTAATCGCCCTCTTCGTACGCACAGAAAGTGTGTTTATGATTGTCACTGGTTGTTTTTTTTTGGCGTGATAATTGTTTAGGTTTCATGTCTTTGTTGTTTTTTTTTTTTTTTGAAGATTTTTATAACATCTAGTTAAAATGTGATAACTCTTTTTCAATTTGTTAGCAAATTTTCTTTATTTAATTAAATTTCAAACATACAGTGGGAGGCAATAAAGGCAGAACTCTTAAACGATTTCTTAAGTTCAGTACAGATACAGTGGAATACAGTTAAAGTTTAAATTTATCACAATCAAATTATAGAGAGAAAACTGGAAGTCTGTAAGACTATTCTGAAACATTATCTTTTCTCTAAACAGGGTGACTTTGTCAATTTTGTGATTCTAGAAAACATAACGACTAGGGTTCTATAGTTGGAACGAAAAGTCGACTTTTCGGCTTTTTGCATTTAGTTAAAAGTCGACTTTTCGACTTTTTGCATTTTATGAAAAGTAGATTTATCGACGTTCTTCATTTAATTAAGGGCCGACTTTTAGTATTTTATAAATAGTCGACTTTTAGACTTTTTCCGACTTTTTCTGACTTTTTGACTATTTTCGACTTCTTTCGACTTTTTTTCGGTTATTTTTTTACTTTTCTCGAGTTTTTCCGACTATTTTAGAGTTTTTGACTTTTTTTTCACTTTTTTCAAATTTTCGACTTTTTTCGATTTTTTCTACAATTTTCGACTTTTTTCGATTTTTTCGAAATTTTTCGACTTTTTCCGACTTTTTACGACTTTCTTCGACTTTTTGCGACTTTTCGACTTTCTTCGACTTTTCGACTTTTATTCACAAAGTCGACTTTCAACTTTTTGTATAGACTATAGTCGAGTTATCGACTTTTTTGAAATAAAATAGTCGACTTCGACTTTTTTCGACAAAAAGTCGATTGTTCGATTATTCGAAAGTCGATTTATAGAACCCTAATAACGACAGTTCTAATAAATTAAATTATATCATGATACATCTTCGATATAGATAGTCCATATATTATTTGAATGTGTGCATTTGTATATGACTAAATAATGCGTAAGTTTTTGAACTAACATTCGAACCATTATAATCCTAACTTCCTTAAAATGTAGTATATCAGGCTAAATAACTTCAGTGGTTCGGAAGCAAGATCTTGGCAATATTGCTTAGCTACTTAAGAAGCATTATTTTTCGAACCATTTAAAAATTTTATATAAAAACGATCTTAGGGGAAAAATATTTTGTAATTAAGAAGGGAGCATCTATCGTCTTGGTAAGATTTAGTCTTGGCTCTACGATGCTCTTTAAAAAGGAAAAAAGTTCTTACTACCACATTTCAAATGCACTATGGAACTCATAACCTGCAATAGAAGGAACATATCAAGATTGTTGCAGAAATAACTCGACATCGGGAGATAGGTAAACATAGAAGTTAACTTGAACATCCTTATAATGAGTACTTTATAAAGGAAGAAATGGTCTTCCACCTTCTCTGTGAATAACCTGCACAGGTCGCAAGAGAAATATGTATATTATTTGACTACTACACTAAATCCAACTTTGATGAGTTATATTGGTCTAGACTTTTGAACATATCACGAATACAGGTTGGATTTAATACTTTACGTTTGACGAGTTGTATTGACCTCTCAAAATAGAGTGCCTTCTACTCAAATATCTTTTTGCGCGTAGAAACCTTAGTCTATAACTAAACAACTATAATTTTGACATCATAAGAAAAGGCTATATCTGTACAGCTTCAGATGTTTGCCTTTTCAATACCGATGATCTGTCTGTTGTAAGATTCATATGGGCATGAGCTTACTTATGCAGATTAAGGGAAAGAGGAATGTGGGAGTCGTGTGATTAACCTTTGAATATCTGTGGATATCGGAAACTTATTATTTCTGCAGAACTTTATATCGAATTTTTACTTATTTTTATTTCGATGTATTTCTCTAATTTCTCGATCACAAATTTGCCTTTGAAATTTCGTGGTGTTGTAAGCAGCTTTAAGATCCGACTATGACAAAAAATGTCGTTCTAATAGGACGGCTGGTTATATGTGGACTTGCAAATCTTCCAGTGCAATATTTGTATTAAAAATTTGGCCATATAACGGTGCCTAATGAAACTCGACATGCTACTGCGGATCAAAACGATATTATGACATGAATGCATCATCCTTGTAGTACTTAGTTCACCAATTCAGAGTTAAGTTAAAATATCATATAGCGTCAATCTAAAAAACTATAGAATTAGTGTGGCCATGGCAATCTCAATGACAGCCAACACTTTGACACTTGAGTATCTGCACCGATACCACAATTTGTAAAAAATATTTGAGAATCCTTTTATTGGCATCAAGTTTGATTATCACTATCCAATTCTCTAAGTTTCTGCGGGGGTTTGATTAGAAGAAATGAAAAGTAAACTATATTAAGTTTGAGATACGAATAAGTATATACCCATCAAAATCTTGGTTATGACTTGTACCTACTCTACAACTTACTTTTCAATGACTTCTTCATACCATCTGATTCACTTTTAAGTAATGACTTGTAATGATTCGTAGGTAATTAATTTTTTACAGTCTGCTGTTTTGAGTATAATAGAGAATTAACAAAGACTAGGGCCAGGTTCATATTCTTGTCGCATACTTTTTTAACATTACACTAAACCACTTAATCAACTGACTATTTGTACGCAAGCGTGTTAAGTACTTACCTAACTGTAAGTACTTGAAGTTGCCATTTTAATTTACTATGCTTTCAATGTAACTTTTTTGTGGGTCCAGGTTTATTTTATCTTTAGCAGTGCAAGTATATTTCAGTCATTTCATGTTAAACACATTTGTTGCTTTGGATTCCAAATAGGTTTTAAATTTGATATAATAACACTATTTTATAATATTTGTTAAACTTAAAATATTATATAATATTAAATTTCCCTAAAATGAATTGCGATTTGGGTTTTTTTCATTTTCCGTTAATTAGCTTTAATTGTATATATCTTGTTAAAATAATTATATAATCATTGTAATCACAGTTAATTTCGATAAGTTGCGTAAAATATGATTAAATTAAATTATTAAATAAAAAAACTGCTTAAAAGGCGGAACATTAAAAACTAAATACCAAAATTTGTTTATTTCAAACCACCACAACTTTATAAACTTAAACAAATTAAGTTCTGCCTAAACCATATTTAAAGTTCAATGTCAAAGGCATAGGTACTCATTCATATCTTACCACATACACACTTTTTATACGTTTATGATTTTATCATCGTATAAGACAATAAGACCACTATATGACATTTATAAAACATGTAAAATGTAATCAACGTAAATAATATTGTCTCCAAACTACACTAAATCCCCCAAACCAAAAATGGAAAACAATAAGAAAATGATTTGTATTTAATTTTATGGCGATAAGCCATAGAAACGAAAATCTAAATAAAAATATCCGTAAAGGAAATCTGCTATATGCGAAAAAAAAATAACGAAAAAAATATTTTATGTTCATGTTTGTTTGTGGTTGTGACGCAAAATGGTCATAAAAATAGTTTTTACATAATTGAAGTAAGCGTATGTGTGTATAAGGACATTTCCGTTTCCTTTACTCTTACACACATTCCTTCGCCGTAAGAGAGGTATGTACTATGTATGTGTATGTAAAAGAATGTTTATTTTTGCTAAAGGTCAGAGTGTTGATGTTGATGGTTCTTTTCCTGTTTTTGTTTATTTTTTCCATTTGTCACCCCTCCCGACTTTACCATTCTTTGGCAACATTCTTCATAAATGGTTTTTATGTATGAATTTTGTTTGTTGCTCTTTCAATTTTTTTTGCTTTAATTCGTCTATAATGAGTTTTTGTGGTTTTTATGTTTCGAAGAAAACCACACGAAATGTTGTTTGTTAAACTAAAAATGCAAAGCAAAAATCCCTTAATTTCCTTGATTTCCATAGTTGCTCCATTAAGTCCATAAATTCATTTCAATCTCGTTAAAATTCTTGTTGACAAAAACCACAAATATTTTTATTTCTTTAACTAAAACTAAATTTTTTGTTAATTTCTCTTGTGTGTTGGAGTTTGTAGGTGTTGGCTTTATCCTTTTTAGCAGTTTTGTTATTTTTTGTGTATTGAAACCAAACATTATTTATGGCAAAAGTTTAACAGCAAGTTAATTAGTTTAACGGGAATTTGAATTTAGAAATAAGTGGGAAATATGTTTTAAGTTTTGAAAGCTAAAATGTGTTACAATTCATAGAGTTTTTATTAGTTTTGTACTGATTTGGAGAAATTATGGATA